TGGATGGCTCATGAGAGTCCCCACATTATAGCCAGGGTCCCCCAGGGCCTCTCTGAGCAAATGGGAACAGAGTGTGAGGCGCCTCACAAGCAGGCCAATCGCCAGAGAAACTAGAGACCGCGTGGAAACATGTTAGCATGTCTCTGTGAGCCAATCTATAGATTCTGGCCCTGTCTCAGAACCAGAACAGTTGGACGGCGTTTAAGTGAGTGACTGTGCCAAGATGGTTGCCAAAGCCAGGAGAAAATAGTTGGAAAATGTGAACATGCAAATGTGCTGTTGTCAGATGTGTGTTGGGCAAAACATGCGAACACGAGTGATGCTATTGGTTTGTCTTAGTTTGTAGCATGGTGTTATTTCTTTGTACCTTCCTCCCACACTCCTGCTTATCTTTAAAATTAAGAGCATTTGGTATAAGGTTGCCATTACACTTCAAAGTGCTTTGTTTTTAACTGTGGCCAATTGAGTATTTTGAATTCCACCCCCTGTTGTACGTGAAGTTCTGACTTGAAAGGTATATATGCATATAAATCAGTGAGCTCAATTATCATTGTCAGTGAAACTTTTTTAAGAGGTTTGAAATCTTAAAGACGGCTCGCTACATGACAGCAGGGAGGCTGAAATATGTAATTTCATCCTCTCTTTCAACAGGTGCCTCTGCAAACAGTACAGCCTGCCAAACAGACAGGGAAATAATCCTGAACGCTGGTTTTAGGCGGGTATTAGGGCCTTCAGAGAAACGATATATACCTCAACAGATGGTTGTAACAAGAGGAAAGGTTTACAGATACATACCTGATACACTGTTGGGGATTCCTGTCCTCCTATGCTTCAACCTGGGGTGTAAATCATAGTTAGTGTCACCAGACGTGGGTAATGTGTAAGTGTGTAACTGCTGCAGCAGAGTGATGGAGTTGACCTTGAACTGCTGCGACTGAGTGCACAGCTGGAATGTTTTTACCAAGGAGGGGACCAGAAGATCACTTGCATACAAAGATGTGCACTTACTCTCAGGGATTTGGGGTCACTTAGGAATGTTGTTGTTGAAAGAAAAACATCAAACTTGCATGTTTTTTGGCTGGGGAGACCTAAAGGAAACCACTGCCGTCACAGGGAGAACATCTGGTTCAAATGCAGAACGTTCTCAATATGAGGGAACAGTGCTAATAAATCATTTTAATGACATATGTAGGTAGATGTAAATATTAAAAGTCCAGATGCATATTAGGCTCCCTTACATCATTAGAAAAGCTGAATTCTTTGCTTATCATCTCAAATTATATTACCTTAAAAGTCACGAGACTATTCTTTTTCTAAGAAATGAAACTATTCCTTTGCTTTGTTAACACAATGTGCACTACTCACTTTACAGGACAGCATAAACTGGCCCTTACTGATACAACAAAAAAGGCTAAGTGAACATTAGGAAAACCTAAAACTGCTTATCTATTTTTCTCCACACAATCATCTCTGGACTTTACAGAGGATGGTCCAAAGCAAAGTGAGTGACAGTCCTCGGGTCCTACTAACTGTACCAGCCTGGGTATTGTTAATAATCATGCCCATCCCTTTATGACCACGTCGTGCCCATCTTCTGATGGCTGCTTCCAGCAGGATAACAAGTCACAATGCTCATGTCATTTCAAATGGCTCACTAGACTGCAATTCAGTAGAGCACCGTTGGGATGTGGGGAAACAGGAAATTTATATCATGTTTGTGCAGCCAATGGAAAAAATCTTGGGGGAACGTTTTCAGTATCTTGTTGAATCGATATCATTAAGAATTACTGCAGTTCCGAAAGCAAAAAGGGAGTTTGACTTGGTACTAGTGTGATGTGTCTGTGAGATCAGTCAAGAATATTTAATTTGGGCTGGTCTATAGCTGAACCCTCAAAGATGCTCTATATGCCCAACAGTTTCCAGCTTTTTTAAAACAAAGCATAAGAGTAATTTTAACGTGTATTAAGCAAACTTGCATTAGTAAAGACAGCATGTCACTGGCGCCCATTACTAATGCATCCTAAAATTGGGCTTATGGGAGTTTTACATAAACGATTTATGATGAATGACTTTATTAAACATTAACAGCAGGTTTGATGATTTCTTGCTGTATTTGTTTCAAAGCAAAGACATTTAAAAGTGACCCCAGACATTTGAGTAGTAGTGTAATGCAATAAGCACATTCATGCAAATGTTTACTCATGAAGACAAACACAATCTTCTCTTTCATATCCAGAGCCTGCTGTTCGCACCATTCAATTGTAATGAGCACTAATTTAGGAAGTCTGGCTTCTTATCACAAGGTTTTAAACAGTCATCAAGTGTGATTAACTTCCAGAATGATTTGATCAAGCAAGCAGAGCACAAGAACAAACTTACCATCACTTCACCTCTTAGAAATGTCGTGAAAGGGGCAGAAAATTGAGGAAGTGTGTGCACTGATATGACTAGACTGGCCGAAACAAACCTCATGCTGTCACTATTTTTCATTTGTCCAAAAACACGACGTAAATTATAGTACTTTACTTTAAGCTCATGAAACTGCCAAAGTAAATGTTACATTGGACCGTTTTTGAGGGTGTGTTGACGACTGTTACTCGGCTCGAGGGTCAGAAGGAGGCAGTTAAGTTGTTAATCTCAGCGTCAGGATCTGTCTGGCATCGCGTCCTGAATGTGTCAGCAGAACACTGGAAAACACAGTCTGAGTAGCACACTGAGTGCTATTGTTTTTGTTTTAGCCTAGCTTTAAATCCATGTTGGCAAAGAATGCTGGGGATCAGAAACAATGGTTATTATGAGGCCTGAAATCCACTTTAACCAAACTTAGACATAAGTATAGCTGCTAGAGCGTATGCGATTCATAAATAAGTGGAAATGCTGATTTTGCAGCTCTTTTTTATGCCCACATTTGAGCTTCAATTAGTTTCTGTAGATAATAAGAGGATTTTATATCTGGTGCTGGTCCCAGAAAAGAGTTTTTTGTGGCTTAATCAACAGAAATGGGGCCACCATGCAAATATTGAAGCAGCATTTTAAATTATGGAGGGAATGGGTACTATAAAATATAGATTTTTTTTTTTCACATCAGGAAGGAACACAGAGACAACTGACTGCTTTCTACTGCAAGAATTCCTTTGAAGTTAATAAAGTTAGAGCGAAAACAGACAAAGCATTAACTTTTTTTTAAAAAAAATAGAATTTATTCTTAAACTGATTTACGGCCTTGTAAAGTTGTATTCTTTTGTATTGGATTTATGCAGGTTTAATACCTTCATGTGCAGAAAATCTGCCTATGTGAACCTCTCTAATGCAGTGTTTGACCCTGCATAAAAAATCATTAAAAAGATTTTTCCTGAAATTTGCAGAAGAAGAAAAATTCTAATATTTATGTAGATATTTAAAATATACTTTAAGCTTTGGCAAAAACGTTATCATGCAAAGCTGTTCAAATTTGAGTTAATTTGGCACACTTTAACTTTCCAACTATTGTTGGCATACACACAGTAACAAAAACAACAATAATGCTCCACCAGTACACTAGGCTTAAGCTAAATAAGACCAGATGTGAATGAGGAACGTGGTCTCTGTACTCCCCCTTGTTTTGTTTGTTTGTGGCATCATGCATCCTCGAATTGGCCAGGACAAATTGATCTCAGGCAGAGCTATTTGAAAACAATTGTGCTGCACACTTCATTCCTCTGAGCAGTTCTTCTTTTGAATGAAGAATCTGAAATGTTGTGACCTAATTATTATAGACTGGCATGCCTGATCTATTTAGTCTTCATGTGGATGTTGACGTTTGGGGCCGAGGTAGAAAACAAAAGGGAGGGGCGGGCACAAACAGGAAACATATGGTCCAAAATAGATAAGTCTGGTCCCCAGTGTGATGATGTCTTCTGTGGAAAGAGCACATGATTGACAGAAGCAAAAATATTCACTCAGATTATTAGTATTATTTTTTTTAATATTTTCAAAAACTCATAATCTCATATCGCATACCCTACCCAAGAGGCTTTAGCTTGCCCACAGTTGCTGGGGATATGCAAGCCACTTTACAACCCACCTCCACCCCAGCAGTTTCTCTCTTAATTAATGCCATGTCTGTTGTGTTTAATGTCAGCTTTAGCTGCTCAGTTGGCAGCATTAATCAGTGGAAATAATATCTCACTACACAAAGTATCTGTCCTACTGATAATAACTTCCTTTCCTGACTGATGGAAAATAATATTGATATAATAGATGTGTTTCTTCATAATGCTTGGCTTAATAATCCAAATGTGGATCTAATAAATAAACTGAACTTTAAAACCAGCTGACTCTGGTTAAGTTTACTTCTGCACCCTAACTACCAGTATCAAGCTTTATTCATAGCTGTTTAGACTTGTTGCTGAATATGAGGCGTTTTCAGACGTTTTGTGCTAATTTAGCAGAGCCGAAATGCATTTGATTAGTGATTGTAACGTCTGTTCAGAAAATGATGGTTTGTGTTGGTAATTGTCATAACCAGTCATTACCATTAGTGAGTTGGCTGCTGCATTTCTAAACACCAGCTGCAATTGTCAAAGTAACAAAGGGTCTGTCTCCTATGGTAACTGGAAAGAAGATTTCAATTCAATTCAGATTTATTTATACGGCCTAAATCACAACATTTGCCTCAAGATGCTTTATATTGTAAAGTAAATAATAAATAAACAATAAATGGAAAAGTGCTTTTACATCGCAATATGATGCAAAGTGGAGGAATAAAATGCATAAAATATATTACCAAGCAACTACCATTAGCATACCGTCAATGCTTTGATAACCCAGGGTCTGCTGCCCGTGCTCAGGCCAGCTGACTGACATCTGAAATCTTGATAAAAGGAGCAAGAACCAACATGCTTAATTTTTGCTTCATAAAAAGAAATGGAATTTCTAACTGTGATCAGCATTTTAGCTTTGTGGGAAAGCGAATGTTTTTTGACTTGGTATTAAAGCACTTTCTTTGTGTCCATGTGCAGGAGCAAGAGGACCCCAACAAGCTGGCCACCAGCTGGCCCGACTACTACATCGACCGCATTAACTCCATGGCGGCTGTAAGTTAAACTGATTCTCCACTATTTTTAAAAAAGAGAAGAGAAGACATATTCTGCTTTTGCTTAGTTTGCATCATATATGTACCAGGTACTCTCTTTAAACATCTGTCATAAAATGCCATAGAAATGGTTGTATGATGGTCATCTCAGGAATGCATATTACCCTAATAACTACCATTCAAGCATTGTGTTTGTGAGGGGCCAAATCTGCTTGTTTCTGACCACGCATGAAAAATATCAAGGGCCTATTAAGGGAACATAATAAGTCCCCTTTACAACAGCTTTAGGAGCATTGATGGTACTGAACTCTAGTTAATGCAGACCCCACAGAGGTCACTGTTCGCTCAGCCGTTCTCTCTTAGATATCTTGGCTGGCGTTTTATCATCTCCCTGCTGATTGCTTGTTATATTCACACGAGCACATTCCTTCGCTGTGACCCCAGCATTCACACACACTGCGATGACAAACAGGCCATTTCGGCGCTCAGCAGTTCAGTCAGTGGGAAATACTGTCAGACACATGGAGCAAAGCCAGGATGACAATATTCGTTAGTTCTAGACCGTGTGTCTGCCAATAAAAACGGTGTGATACCATCGCAGAGTTCGCTTCTGCTGTGATCCCCGTGTCGCTTTAGACAGAAGTGTTGTTATATGATGTTGTATTATATCAAACCGACTGGTTCGTGCCAGCAGCCTCTCACCCCGAGTCCTTCTGTGAACGACAAGCTGCCTCCCAAATGTTTTGAGATCTTAAAACATGACATTTTAAGCGAGTCTCTTGAAAGGTGACACATAAGCACAAAATGTAGAGACTAGCCAAACCGTCCGACATGTTTGCATTCATAAATCTTTCCAGTGTGAGGTAGAACAAACGGTTGAACCTTAGCATACCATAAACACCGAGCTGAAACGTAACGGCATTTAATATCTGTTTATTGCCCTGCAGTTTGTCGAGCGTAGCTGTCGTCAGTTGCAATTTTTGCAGCTGTTTTTGTTTACTGCCTCCACTCCAGAGATGAGAACTGCTTCTGAACAGCACACTGCTACCTGAGCTGAGCGTAGAGGTCTGGAGAAACGATTTTTCAGTCTCTTTAAGGCTCAGACGCTTGACAGCATGCACACACACTCACACAAACCGTATTTTAAGTAGAGCAGGGAGAAAGTGCTGATTTGTGAGTTGCCAAGAATTTGAAATCCACCAGGGCTGTAGTGGAGCCACTGTGCTATTAGGTGTCAGACGCTCTGTCAGAGTTATGTTTCAGATGTTCTTTTCCTGTTTTTCCTGCAAAACACGGTGATTTTAAAAAGTCTACTGTACAGTACCAGAAGTTTTAAAAAGTTGACATCTATTGAAAATGCGGCCGCCCTTGCTTGAGACTTTTACAAAAAATGTGTCTGGAATAATATCAGGGAGAAACCTGGTTTCAAGCACAGTAGCGTCAGCTAATATTACATCAGTGGGTGACATGCATGAAAAAGATTTTACAACTTGTAGCAGTCTCCTTTTTGCACAAGCAGACCTACTTTAAGCTCCATTATTCACCGTTCCTCAGACTGATTTCCTCCCCTTCCTCTCCGACTGCATTTGGTCCACCACGGAGCTCCAAACCATCTTCAACATCATTTTAAAATTTGGAGGCGCTCCACTCCTGCCCCGTGACTTCATGTTTTGGCTCCGGAGCGATCTCACCGGGGTCGGCCCCTACACAGTAGCTGAGTTATTGGATGATCTCATTTTGCCGCCCGGAGAGATTACTGTACAACCGGCATCTTGATGTTCATTCATAAAATTGTGTCAGAGCCCTGAGGTTGTTCGTGGGCCACCGCGTGATAACTCAAACGCCCTTGTGACTCTGACAGGAGTTTCTGTAGCCCCGCTGTGCCCGAGTTGTATGCAGAGCTTCAGATCTCCCAGCTGGATCGTTTTTTCTGCAGAAATAAAGAAAAAGGAAAATGCATGAAGGTCTCAAACTTCTGGAAGTAATCACAAGACTGATTGATGGGATGAGATGAACTTTGATATGAACTGAGGTTCTGTGCTTTTTAGCAGGTTGATTAGGTGACACATTTTACAATGTACAGGATTAATTGTATTGCAAATAAACTGCATCGTGTTTTCATAATGTTTCGATTGGAAGCTGTATATCTTTGGAGCCATTCAGAATGATCTGTTAGCTAAATCTCTTTTATTACATGTATTTCTGGATATGATTTCATTAAGTTATTTTTTAATTAGTTTCCTCTGACCTGTAGTGCTATTTTCCAAATACTGTATTAATGTGAGTTGCTCAGTTTTAGAGATCTTTTTTACAAAACAGTCTAGCTCTGAAAAGCGGAGCCAAAGCAGAAGTATTTTAAACTTGCATGCTTTCTAGTGACCAGCAGGGGGGGCTATTCTAGTCCGCTTTCAAAGAAGCGTATGAGAAATTGACCCTGCTGCTCGCATTGCCGGTGACTACGGCAAATGCTTACACGATGAGTTTATGGTCTCAGTTGCTAGTTCCAAGTCTGAATATGTTTATTTTATAAATTATGGTTCTGTTTACATCAAATATAATGATAAAGTTCGGGATTAGGTGACTGACAAGTTGCTACCATATGAGCGTGCAGTGTCCCTGACGTCTGATGTTAGGTATTAAAAGAAAAACAGTCACTTCACTGCTTAAATACAGGCTATGATAAATTACAAGAAAATTTTTTTTAGTCTGACAAGATATGAAACGTAAACATATACGTTTACTTTTAATGCAACTTGATGTAAGCCTTCCAAATATCTTCTGATGGTGGAAGATACGATGGCAGCTGGATTTCACTAAATAATTTTGTTTTAGTTAACAAAATTTAGTTTGTCTTGGTTTAGATTAAACTCATCCCTTCTTTTTTTTTCCTTTTCTTTTTTTTTTCTTGGTTGATGCATCAATGATCCACATGGCCCACATTAAGACTTCGATTAGTAGCATTCATCTTTGTTAACGACGCTCTTATGACTAGCTTAAAGGCATAGTTCTGGCTGGGGGGAGGGCATTTCCCATCATAAGGATTTAGGGAAGTACCGTCTGCTGGTTTACCAACTGGCTCTAATGATATCCTTATGTGCATGTTGGCCACAGGTACGGGTGAGCTTACTAATAGCAGATGTAGGAAGGAGCCATTTGGCTAGACTCACTGACACGGTGAACTGGCTCACAGTACGACCCAATCATTCACTCAGCCCAACACTTGTTGTGTCCAACTTCCCATTGACTATGAACACGCTCATTTAGAGCAACAGGAGCCAGAGCGTTTGGCACAGGGCTCCTGAACCATCTGTACTTGAGGCTAAGTCGACACGATGGATGTTTTGAGTATACCGTTTCTATATTAAACACTCTCGCACACTGGACAGATCTGAGCTCTTGTTGGAAAATCAAACATTGGGTCAGGATTCAGTTAGATATGTCATGGTAGCTAGTTGGCAGTCTATAAAATAATTCTACAAACGGCGGGTGGGGGGTTGTGTGTTACTTTTTAAAGGGACAGTGCACCCCCAAATCAAATTTACCTATTCTTCCTCCGGTCTTTTATTTTTGCCTTGGTCTAAGTTGTCCAATGGCATTTGTCTATGACTCCTCAAAGCAACAAAAAGCTGCCTTAGTCGAACCAAACAGCAGTGTCTCTTTCCAAGGTCCACAAACCTTGTTATTCTGCGCTTTTAAACGCTTTCACACACACTCACACATCTGAGACGATTTGAGGTTAAGCACTTGTGCAAGCACCACTTGCAGACTGCAGGGGCTGGGTATTGAACCATCAAGCTAACTTTTAGGTTGATGGTTTTATTTGTTTTGTTTTTTTGTAGTGGCTTGATCATCACAAGACAAGACTTATTTAGAAATGAATGAGCGAGCTGCACCAAAATTTTAAGGTTTAAAGTTTGAAAGCAATCGCAAACAAGTATCTTTTGAGGGAAATGAATGGGCAGCACTGTGACTGGCTGAAACATGCACTGTTTGGCCTCGGTGCTTGGTAGTGAGCTACCATGGAAAAAGCCTGGAGATGCTAAGCAGAAGGCCCGTGGCACTGACTAATGAGAGCATGACTGCTCTCTGATACTGCAGACCAAATCAGTGAAGTGATGCAGAAATGCATTATCACTATTACTATTCTTTTTAGGTTGATTAGAGCTGATTGTCTGCATAACTTCTTTTGGTATGTTGTGTAGCTTTAAACACAATCTGTTTGAGTTGTGGTGCCAGACATAAGTCTGCTAATGAGTCTCTGATTGTTCCAATTAGTCCTAGTATCATATATAATCACACTAAAGACACTAAATGTGTGGTTGCAGTCATATTGCTGCCAAATTACAATTAATATTCTTGTGTTAAAGATAAGCTCCGAAAAGATCTGACACGGTGTCTGTGGATAACGTGAACCCTTAAAGTCTTTAAATATCTTAAATCAATCTGATCTTAAAATTTTAACAGACATAAAAAATTAACATTGCACAGAGCAAGAGGCAAAACACACTCTGATCATAAAATGGAAAGTTTTGTAAATATTGGAAACATACATTTAAAAAAAGAACCTTTGTTTTTTGTATCATCAAGATCAGGAAAGCAGCCTGACTGAAACTGGTTCTTTTAGGAATCTCGTCTCATGGGAGCAGTCTTCATAATGTCTCCAGTCAGATATTAAATAGCTTTCATCTAAATATCTACATTAAAAGGGAAAAAATAAAGAACCATACATAGACAGTAATCACTGCATGTACAATAAAACTGCATGTAATTTCGCACAGCACTGACACTATATAGAAAATGTTTGCAATGAACAGAGCTGCAGTGTGATGGCAAATACATCTACTCATTAATCTAGTTAAGATGTAGGTTTAATTTTGTTCTTTTAGTTTTTCTTAGCATTGTCCCTGAGAAGAGACAGAGGCATTGAATATTTTTGATCAAGTCTAGTAGAAATCTAAATTGCAGTGGGAAAAAAAAATAAACATACTTTTAGAGGGAAAACATTTTAAAAATTGCAGTCATCTCCCACAACGCCTCAGAGTTGTTTCCTGTCATAAGATTTTCTGCCCAGATACAGAGATGTGATTGGATGACGGAGAGTGTTGTACATTTTGCTTCACGTGTATTTCTCGCCTTGCAAATTGTGATTGTAAATGTGTTGATGTTACTGTCATTCTATTGGCTCAAATGATTCAAGAGAAGGGTCAGTCATGCAAAATGGCCAATAGAAGCCAAAGTTATTGGCCATCAAAAAGTCCTAAAGACTATTTTTGCTGTGCAAATTACGTTCACGCAGGGACCATTATGCCTGTGTGTGTGGGGGGGTAATTCTTCCAAAAATATTCAAAAACAAGCATTTTGTAGGCTTGTAAATAAAGATTTGGAGTCATTTCTGCTCTTCAATACTTAAGAAAATTCAACTCTCACAGACTGTGGCAAAATGTAACAAATTGCAAAATGCCTGGCTAAGCCTTCATTAAAATCTCTGTAACTTTGCTGTGTTTCACTTCAGCAGCATCAGTCTTTGTACAGATAATGTCAATATGTTGATTCATGATGTTGTGGAGTTTATTGTGTACCACAGGATATGTCCAAAGGTTTTATATGCTATAAAATATAGGAAAAAGAACAGAAATTAGGCAAGGAAAAAAAAATCTTATTTTTCTATTTTCCATCCTCAGCTGCTTTGACAAACTAGCATCTGCTGTAATATTTACAACGCTGATGAAGTCTCACAAGTGTTAGCTTTATTTTGATAGCAGGATTGTTTATACAGAGTTTGTAATTGCAGAGAAATACTTAATTCATTTTGGGCATGTCGTTTTCGAGCAGGAACCTCAGAATAGGTGCTTGAGTTCGAGGCAACTGGACTTCTTTTTTAGGTTCTTGAAGAAGCCCTACATATTTAACCTCTCGTGGGGTTGTCACCTTAGACCAACTTCATCATCCACATCATCTTTTAGAACGAAAGAAGCCTTTTGCATGAGAAGTAAAATGCCTTAAAAACCTCAGAAAGAAATGCAGCTGCCTTCAGCTCAAGGACACAAGATCAGTCATTTGTTTTGTTGATTGGCTCTTTGCATTCAAGGTTGGGAGAACCACATCCTTAAGAATTTGAGTTGTTTAAGTCCATATTTCTCTGTTGTAATGTCTCATGTCAGGTAACATACAAGTCATGGTGTATTTCTTGCAGAAAACATATGCACAATGGTAATTGAGAGTGAAATCTCGTGCAGTGTTCCCAAAATTGCCATGTGGTTGCGTGCATTTGGTCTGTATCAACAGCCTACATAAATTAGCTTGTTGGACGAGAGATTCGACTGAACCACAAAAACCAAACAACCCCAATCAGTTGATGTTGTTTGTCTTCAGTTTTTGGTTTGTGTGAAATTGATTTTAAATTTTATTCTGAGCGGCATTAAAAAAGTCTTAAACCCAACTTTCCTCGGGCTGTAGGAGCCCTGCTCTAATTAAAAATGGAAAGTACCAAATTACTACCAGCAGGTAACATTCTCACTTGATGTAGAGTTGGAATTTATTTTTCCAGTAAAATCTCCATTTCTCTTCTTATCTGCAGATGCAGACTTTGTTTGCCTTTGACGAGGAGGAAATGGAAATGAGGAACAAGGTGGTGGAAGATCTGAAGACGGCACTTCGGACTCAGCCGATGAGGTGAGTGAAACTTAACTCTTCCATGTGACCTTCCCTTGGGCTGCACACAGCGCTGAGCTCTTTGCTCCATTCCTACAATTTAACTTGTTGAGGTTATACCACACACCGTAATCTGATTTAATAATGGATCTCGTGCTGCAGCGCAGTCTGTCTCTTGTCATGCTAAATGAGCCTATTCTTTACTTCAAACTGAAAAGTGATTAATTAAGGAAATTTTCAGTCGTCCACATTTACGCTGTGGTCATTAGCGGCTTTTGGCCTCACTCGTCACCACAAAGAAATATTCAAGGACACTGGGCATCCCCCCAACACAAACCGCCTACGTCTCCCAGTCAGCACCTCCTTTGGAGCTGTCCATCAGCCCGTGCCAGTCTTATGAAGCAGTGGTCTGCCCCAAAATGGGGGGTGTTGAGTGTTCTCAAGGACGGCTATAAAATGACAGGCCTCATGTGCAGAGTGACAAATACTCAGGGCAGCTCTCACGTCTGGGTCGCGTCTGGGTTGTGTGGGTGTATTTGTAGGCCAAGTGTGTGTGGTTGTGTTTGCTCCATGTGCCGACATGTGGGGATCCAAAACAGAACAAAGCTGGTGAGAAGCAGACTCAGAGGTCTAGACAGAAGACAGGAAATCGTTTGAAACTTTCTGTTTTAGACTTTCTGGCCTTGAATGTGAATCTTTATTGGAATATTATAAGGATACCAGAAATTATTGTCAGTTCCAATAGCAGTGAAATCCCACTACTGATGATATCATGTCTCAATAAAACAAGTCAGTCCAATTTAACTTTAACAGATCTAGACCTCTGACTTTGAGCTGCTTAGATAAGTCTAATGTCTATTTTCTGTCTGATATAATCCTAATTATGAGGCACAGATGGAACAGTGGAGCTATGCTGGTAAGCTGGCACCAAATCAAGATAAATGGGGTTTACAAAGAATGATTTAATCTATGGTATTTCCTTATTAGTTAATGTAAGTTGACAGATAGCAGCTGAACAGGTAAAACATTACAACTAACTGTTTTAACATTTGCAGTTTTAATTTTGTATTTAAAAGAAATCTTCTGCTTAAGTCAGATGGGTTCTAAACATTTTTTTTCTTGTTTATCGTCATTAACATATAGCCTAATCAGTATTTATGTGCAAACAAACAAACTAAATGCAAGTCTCAAAGAGTCACTGTAGCTGAATATGGTGTTTTTAACATAATGTAAAAACAAAAAAACAGTAACATTAAAAATAAATTAATAAAATGGACAACAACATGCTATATTTAAGTAATTAGTGGAATTTGCAGGTACTGGCAAAATTCTGGTAATAAAAATCACTGAGGTTTGAACGTGTGATGTGATGATTGAAATAATTTGATGGCAACTAAACAGGACAAATATATTTGTTGTGCTGCTGAATGAACAAATACAGATATATAGTAATAACTCTGTGACTTCTAACTCTTACTTACTGACCACACAAAAAAGAAAGTAATATGAATGCAAAGGTGCGCTCGAAGGTTCTGGATAAGTAAGGATTTATAATATATTTAAGGTCAGAGTTACACTTTTTTTCAAAGCTAATTAAATAAGATCAGCCCTGTTCATGTGGTAGAGCTCCTAAGCTGTATGTAGCTGACAGGGATGGGCTTTGAGTGTGCTCATTAAAGCTGATTTACAGCCTAAACCTGCTCTGATGATCTCACACTCATCCCACATGAGGACTACCGATGCTCTCTGTGTGCTCAGTGAAACTGAACTTTGAACACAGTTTCAGACACTGATAACCAGGAAAGAAAATCCTAATTAGTGGAAAAACTTCTTGCTGAGCTATATATACTTTATGCCATTACCTGCTGTTGCGGCAAACAACATATCTGAATATATCGTCACAGTTTTCCTCCTTTGACATATTCAGGGAAGTAGGAGCACTTTCAGTGTAGGAATACTTATCCGAGTCTGAGGTAACAGGATTTGCACATTTGTGAAAATGCCCTTTTAGTGCCTTGGGCTAATTTATTGAAGAAATTTTAAAGGGTTAGATGATGCAGTGCATTATGAAAGGAGTAGGTTTTCAGGAGGGGTTTGCACAGTTCATACTGCATTTGCAGTACATGATGAAAAAAATGTTGTAATTGTAGCAGGAAAGCAGGACGGCTACTTGTAAACTTAAATTTACTTCAACATAAGCATCACTTTGGTGAGATGGCTATCTAGTCTCACAAACACTTGATAACGTTTACCCAGTGTTTATTTGGGAAGTACAGTTAATCTTCTGCAATTTTACTACCATAGTTTCTCTAAAGGCCAAATCCCAAAGTATTTGGCACTTGCAGAGCAACTCAATCCTTGAGAGGCCAAGTTAGGTTGTCATCTCTCTGCCATCATTACCACACTGTTAGTGCTGAGTTATTCCAGGTCTAAACTGACCCCCTGCTGGGCCTAATCATCAGGGAGGGTTTTTTGTACTGTTACGATGTTTTTAGAAATGAGCTACAACTAGCTAATGAATGTAATTAGCTTGGTGTTACCGTAAACTGTTTTTTACACACATAAAGCAGCCTGAAAGAATTAGAACAACAAAGTAGAAAAAAGAAGACCAGGTAAATGTTACGACTTGACACTTTAATTTGCTCAGTCCACTTTTCCATGATAGCGGTAGCCTAAATGATTCCCTGCTTGCTCCCTTTCTCCTATGCTAGGCAACTGTTGTGACTTTGCCACATAGTATGTTACATAAAATAAATGTAGATTTTTTTTTAAATACATATATTCAAGTGACACCCCACCTGATACCCCAGTGCAGTTCCACGTTCTCCTGTTTTTATTTTACCTAATTTATAGTTTAAGGCTTTTTTTTTATATGTCTCTTTTTCTCTATTCATTTGTTGTATTCACTTATTTTACCTCATCAAAGGTGACTTTGCCAACACTATTCAGAGTCCACCTGCTCCCATGCTGTTCACAGAGTGAGTTATTGCTCATTAGCACGCAGATGTTTTAAAGTAGTGGAACAGCGATGCGGGCAGCAGGTGTGTTGCACAGAATATGGGTGTTCAGGGAAATGTCCAGCCAAGCGTGGGCTTTGTGATGAACGGGCAGTTAAAGCGAAATGATGACTTTGTGCTTTGCTGTCTGGGATACATAAAGCAGAGCCTCACCTGCGCTGTGTGTCATTTCCTTGTCCCGTCGTGAATGTATAGAGTTTTTACGGCCTCATCTTGTGAGACACGGTGGTGTCTGTGCGTATTCGGCTTTGACTCATGCTCAGCTTTGGATGCCTGCCTGAAACTGCCTTGCTCCCTCCCTCCTTCACTTTGGAGAGGCAGCTGGGCCTGGTTCTGAAGAGGTGCCCTTGTTGCTACTCATGCTGCTCTGCAGGGCCACGGGACCCAAACACATTGTAGACATGCAGGGTGCCAGGCAGAGCACATCATCAGTAGGCCACCCACTTTCACTCACAGGCTGTTTTGCTGGTGACATGTTTCAATCAAGTGTTTGTTTGTGTGTTTGAACGTTATTTTAAGATTTGCACATTCTTTCTTCCTGACATTGCTACTTCAAGAGGACAGAATAATCTGGAAGGATCTTTTTGATCCTGGTTGATTTGGCTGTAGTTTCAGTTCCTGGAACAACAAACATGGATTTAATACTACAGGCCACAGAATTTGAGAGCAACAAAACAAACTGTTGTCGTTTTAATAATGAACTCAGCCTAACCGCAGCCGTAATCTGATTTCACAGTCTGGAAATACATCAGCTCGTCTGCTCACTTCAGGCTCTTGGGGCACCAGACAATTTTTCGGGGTCTCTGTTGCAGCCAGCGGGTATCCATGCCAACATTTCTGGCTTTTGCACCAGTCATTGTTTACCAAGACAGATAATTTGAAAATGCCAGTAATCACTTAACTCATCATTAGACAATAATTGATCACTATCCAGTGCATTTCAGAAAATACCATCCCTGCTTTGCTCTTCATGCAAACTGATTTTCTACAAGAAAATGCAATGCAGAAATCTTCTGCTGCTTAAAATCTTTGGTCTCTTGCCTACAGATCACAGAGTTCAGTGGATGGAGTTTATTAAATGGGTAAGAAGTTGGTGTAGACTCTCTCTTGTTTCTCTCTTGTTCCTGAAAGAGATCAAACTGATCTGCTGTCTTAAATTTTATAGATGATCAATAATGACCAGTAGTGGTAAACTCATTAACCGATATGTTGTGTAGCTACAGAAGAAGGAAGTATATTTTTTGGACGAAAGCTACTAGAGACACACTAGCTGATTATAAGATACAAATATATGTAAATAACCCAAGGTTTCTGGGATGAAAGTGCTGGAAATGGAGGAAGTATGAGATGATGGTCTAGTAGTTGTGGTTGCTAGAGCTTGGTGAGGTTTGTGGCTTTTGCTAGACGTCGTTCTAGATCTCATTAAGCACCAATTTCCGTTGGACAACATGCACTTAAATAAATTCCTAAATGTGAATTTTGGACTTGTTTAATTCCACAAAACCTAATCTATCAAACTAGTGGAAAGATGAGACCCAAAATCTAAAAGAAAAAACGACCCATGCATAAGTTTGTCCATGCCTTAAAATGTCAAAGGCTTAGTGTTTATTAAACTGAAGTTGGTAGGCTGGTGCAAGAAAAATGAAATCACTCAATAACAGAACAATTGGACTGTTTCGATGCCTCCCTGTAAGAGGAGACCACAGGCGAAATATTCTTTCCCCTGTGAGTGATGCTGCACTTAATTTGCCATTTACCAGAAACCTTTTTTTGATGGTTGGAAACTAATTTAATGGCCCAGATGTCTTCATTCAAATATAAATGTGATTATTTCTAAGCAGCCATAAAAAAGGAGGCATTTTGAAAATGATTTCTTCCCCTCGAGTTAGCAGCTTATCACGCGTCCATGCCGGTAGTTATTGTTTTGTTTACCAGCTGTCAAATGGAGCTTGAAGCATCACACTGCGGTTGTGTATTTACTCACGTAAAGCTGAATCTCAACTCAAGTGGGCATGTGAGGGTAGATAGGCAAACACAAACTGCTGCAGCTATGTAGTTAAATGAAATATACACATTCTGGTGTACATTTCCAGTTAGCGTCCAAATATTTGAATGTTTACTTGTGGTATTTTAACTATGCAGTTGGATATACTTTCATAATCACTGTTGATTTGTTGAGTCATCTGCACATCTGCACTGATGTTTATGTTCATGTTGATGAGCGTGCTTTGCGCTTCTAAGACGTGACCCTCCTCCATCATTGTCATTTCCGTTGCGACATAACTGCACGAGGACAGGAAACTGAGCTATCGTGGAGGTCACTGAGGCCATTCTGACCCACAATGCATTGCACTCCCAGGCTCATGTCAGCAGAGCACTGTAGTGCTTCCCAAGGCGGCTCTCTGTGGACATTGTTTCTGCAAATCTGTTCCAGCAAGAATATTTACTCGAGTCGACTGCAGCCTTTCACCCTGCTCTTGTGTCAACAGCTCTTTGGATGTTTCGCTGCCATCACATACAAATATTATCCTTCAAAACATTTTGTCGACAGATCTCTCAAAGGTTCCGCTCAACAGAGGGTGAACTTTATATCTGTTTTCACATATTACCAAATACATTAGTGGGGGAGTAGAGTCTCACACCTTCAAAGAGTCTCAGATGGAGTGTTTGCTTCTCTTAGAGCGCTGATTTCTCTCCCTTTGGTACTTAGTAGTTCAACAGGAAATGGAAAGAAACGAGTGATGGCCAGGTGGACCATGCAGGCAGGTTTGAACAGATGGAGAGTGGGGAAAAAGTGGAGTTGAGCACAGGGGTTATACTTCACTTTCACTTTAATCCCAAACGGCAACCTCATGGGTTAAAGCCAAAATGAAAAGACAAGAACTGAACATGTTTCTGCTCTTAGTGCCTATTTTTAATATAGTTATGGTTTGCTGTCCAGTTAAATGTACAAGCAAACCATGCAAGAAGTCTGTACTCTAGTTTTGGTAAGTGAAATTTTAGTATTTTATGTCCATAAAAAAGAAAAAGTAGTTGAGATCATCTTTTTTGCAAGCAGAAACCACATCCTCAATTAGATTTGACAGCATTTTTTGTAAGATAATAGCAGATGGAATCAGCATGGATGTGAGGCTAGGGTCTGGGAAATGCCTCAGTGAGGACTGGTGGCAGCTCTTGGGCTGGGCCGATCCCCATGTACTAAAAAGGGGCGTGAGGGAGGGCGAGTGAGTCACGAAAATGAGAACAAGTCTTCTACAGTGCAGGAAAGCATACATTACTGGAGAACCAGAAGAGGAGTGTATGAGGTATGGTCCCAGTCCTGAAATTAAGATAAATTATCTTTAATACTTATACTTTATAGTTAATTTCCATTAGGTTTCCATTGAATTACCCTCTTTTGACCTACAAATACAAAGCTAATGTCTGTTAAAGAGAAACACAACTAATTTTACTTTTAGAAACCTGTTTGTAAGTATTGTATAAAACCTTTCTTTCCCCTGGGCAATGCTGGGTCTAGTCCATTAAATTACCCCACATGATGCCATTTGAGACCTCATCATTAGTTGGGAAATAAAGGCTTCAACTCTGTGGGTGAATTAGAAAAAAAGTGATCTTATCTGATCGCCCTCGAACACTGCTGTGGTGTGGTCACATGATTTGTACTTCATATGAATTGAGTGTAAGGAGACAGTTGCCTTTTCTCACATGTGGCATAAAGCAGGAGATAGTCAGGTACATTTTCGCAACTGGAAATACTCCTGCTTCATGTGGGCTTGCTGTGGTGCCCTGGTAGATTTAGCAGGAGGTGAGACACATGAACTCAGTCATACACTAAAAATCTTCGAACAGATCAGAAACATCACACTGACTTTGTACAAGGAATCTTTGATCTGTATAATTTGTAGAAATGTTTGTGTGTGGAAAAAGTCACACACATATACACATGCACGCACAACCAGTAAACCATGATATACTATATATGTACAAATCACAGGTGTGCACCTCAGATAGGGTTTGTATTGTAACTTCTATCTACATATGTGACAGTTTTATGCTCAACCCTTCATTTACCACATCGAGTAAAATGAGAGTAATGTTGATTATCGTATGACTTCTCCTAAAAGCCCTGCAGACACCTTGGTCACGGTTTAATCAGCACCTCTGGAGAACCTCCCGGGCTCTCGTTGTCTTTGGAGACCTTTTATAGTCGAACATGACGTGTGAAAATGCGTCTGGATATAGATGAGTGGGTGTCTGAAGGAGATGGTGAGTGTGCGTGTGATTAAGTGAGGGGTAAACGAGAGTTAGAAAGGCACATGATCACTTGAGTTTGTGTGTGTGGAAGTGTTGGCCTTTGATAAGTTTGTGTGGTTAGGCTTTGAGGCGAGAGCGAACTGTCGGCCAACTGTCTGCCACACACGGGTCATCCACAGTTCAAAAAGGCAGAATGTCTTGCAGCGAAAAATACGTTTGGTTGGAATGAAATTTAAATTTGAGCATCTGGATTAGCTTCCACACCGTCCTCTGCCTCTGGCTGAGGGGTTTTTATGCTTTTTAGATCAATACAGATACAAATTACAATGTTGTTTTAAAGATAGCAGCACTGAAACTCATTTAATAATGTAAGATAGAGCAAATATCTTAGGGCTTTTTTCAAATTTTAATCCGAGACTTTACCTTTGACCATCGCAGGCCTTGACTTTTTCCTGCTCCTCTGTCGCTTTTGTTTAGCCTCATTCTGTTCCAAGTTTTATTTCTTGCTTCTTTCTTTCTTTCATCTGTGTGAAGACCTATTTGTGTGTGTATGTGTGTGTTTGGCTCAGCGTCAGTATTGTTCGGCAGCTCTGCCTGTGCTCATATTGTATGCAGTTGTTGAGCTTTCACTGCGGGTTTTGAAGTATGCAGCGGTTGTTCCAAGAGCAAAGGGGGGAGGACAGAAACCCGTGCGCGCCAGTCGGCTGAGCGTGAATGTCAGTGGAGAGGAGAAGACAAGAGGGGACTACAAAGTCAGAGGATATGGGATCCATTGATTCAAGTGCTCACTGGAGAGAAAATAAAGTGAGGAGGAGGAGAGAATTGTTGAATGTCAGCTTACTAGGTTTAGTAACGGTCCAGAGGATTAGTCACTGTTGAATGTTTTAAAGAGACATGCATGTATATTTTTACATGTATCTGCTTAAGCGCCCGCACGGGCATCGGGTTATGCTGCAAAGGTTATGTCGGTGCATACTGGGGAGCGAAGTGAAGCTGGCAGTGAGCGAAGTCTTGAATCTCGTCCACTCTTTTGAACCCAAACTCCAAGAACAACATCTGTCACCCTCAGCTTTCCATACATTAATCACAGCGATGTTCAGCTTAATTTCTCTTCCACTATGAAAGCTCTTTCTCTGAGGTGGGCTCTCGGTTCGTGGACAGGCGCGTGGCCGGCCAAAGGCTTGTCACTGATATAATGTGGAACTTAAAACAGTTGGCTTTGTTCTGACTTCACTGCTTCCACTGTCTGTGCTACATCTGACTCAATTCATATCTCATATGTTGGATTTCTTTTTCGTCACCGTGGTGCTGAGTGGAGACTGCAGCGTCTTCGCTCAAACAGGAAAGTCTGCTGAAAGGTTGCATGAGTGTTCTGAATGCATTGCCAAGAGAGGCTGACTGTATGCATGCGTGCATACTGTATGAGCCTGCTGGAGATCAGAGGATGATATCTCTTTAAGAGATTTACTGGATGTGCCAGGTTGAGTTTCTGTGAGTGCATCTGCTGGAAATCTGGGATTAATCATGTGTGAGCAGAGGAAGAGCTCTGGCCTCGTCATAAAGGATAATAAATAGATTTTTCTGCATTATATTTTTTCACATTTCTTTGTGCCAAGACAGCAGTGGGAGGGGGATGGTCTGCATACTTCTAAAAGCGTCAAAACAATGTATTTGCTACAATGAATGGTAATAAATCTCAGCTCTCAGCACCCTCTTGTCAGACTCTCGCTCTCTTTCCTCTCTGTCCCTTTGTCTTCTTGACTCCATGCTTCTTTCCTCTTCCTCTTCCTCTCCCCTTTCTTTTCTCCTTACAATCCCTTGTTTGTTTGAAGTAATTTATGAGGCCTATCAGGAATCTTAGGAGTGGGAAGGTCATTTACAGTCCAGCCCCCACTGTGCTCGCTGGATGTGACATCCCTCACTGTTTACATGTCCTGCCTGCCACTCAACCAGTCTGCTTCTCATCCACAGAGGTCAATAGCTCACTGCTCTCTAATTAGTTCAACCACTTGATGGTCAGCAGGAGAGAAGTGTCAAAATTGAGGATTTTTTT